TCTTGAAGTACTCCTTAAAGATAGCATTGTACTTCCTGCTTTGTAAGGTGCCCACAGTACGATAGCTGTATATCTGCAGTGTGAGATCTAAGACACTGCTGCCTCTGATTGCTAGTTTCAGATTTGATTGAAGGCTCAAAATGAGGAAGCAAAACACTCTGCCAAGATAGCCACCATCACAGACACTGTGCACAATGAGGCATGGTACGTTAATAATAGATCAGCTGCAGGGAGACCACACACAGTACTGGTGACCAGTCCTTTTGCCTTATGCTTGCCTTTCTTTGGGCACAGCTTCACAGTTCAGTCCCTCTTTAGGGCAACAAAGATGATCGTTGTTTGGACGCTGATCCTTGCCTTATAACTTGTATTGTGGAAAGAAATGCCAATGCTAGGTAAATGGTTTAGCAGCACTACATCGAGATATAGAGAGAATGTTATTATTTATATTTTCCCCTTATTTTATTATTATTATACAGGATTTATATAGCGCCAACAGTTTGCGCAGCGCTTTACAATATAAGGAAGACATTACAATCACAATACAATTCAAGACGGTAAGGAGGGCCCTGCCCGAGGGCTTACAATCTAAAAGGGGAGGGAGAAGTGATACATGAGGAGGTAGCTGTGTGGGGATGAATTGTTTGAGAACATGATGGTTCAGTGGTTAGCTAGAGGTGGGATAGGCTTCCCTGAAGAGATGAGTCTTTAGGGAACGCCTAATGGCAGTCAAGGCGGGAGGTAGATTGACAGGTTGGGGTAAAGAGTTCCAGAGGACGGGAGAGACTCTAGAAAAGTCCTGGAGGCGAGTATGGGAGGAGTTGACAAGGGAGCTAGAAAGCAGGAGGTCATTGGGATGACTGGAGGGGACGGTTAGGGAGATACTTTGAGACAAGGTTTGAGATATAGCCTGGGGCAGAGTTGTGGATGGCTTTGTAAGACGTTGTTAATATTTAGAAGTGTATCCTCTGGGCGAGTGGAAGCCAGTGCAGGGATTGGCAGAGGGGGGTTGCAGACACTGAGCGGTTGGTCAGGTGGATGAGTCTAGCAGCAGCATTCATGATAGACTGAAGGGGGGATATTTAGCTTTACTTATTTTGTCTGAGCCCAAAACATAAGCTTGAGCGTTCAGGGACAGTAGGGAAGGTAATATCAAAACAGAACAAACCCCTCCTATTCCTTCTGCACCCAAAGACAGCACCAGCTTAAGCCAGCCATCATTTCTTTCATCCCATCATCATTCAATTTCCACACGACTGCCCCATCATGTACAGACCAATGTAGATTTTGATTATTGTTCGTTAGCAATACTAACTGGCCGAATTTCATCGATCAACAGAATGGACTTTCATTTGCGCATGTGTAGTGTTCATGTTGCAATTTTTTTTCCATACAAGAACGCCACTATTCCATCAATTTTCGTACGATTCGAAACGTTTTCCAGCCTGCCGGATCAAGGAAATTCAGCCAGTTGTACAATAATTGTGATCATTCACTTTCCATCATGTGGCCAACTATCGTACAAAAACCTGATCTCGTTTGATTTCTGAACGATAATCACAAGGTGTATGGGCACCTTTAGCCGCTGCCATAGTGCTGCACATGTGAGCAACTATGACACCAACCACTGGAAGGCTTGAGAGATGAGTTGAGCACTGACCTATACACACTGTCAATTACTACCAGACATGCTGTGAATGTTGCATACACTACACATGAGAAAGAAGCCAGAATGTATAGTAAGAGAATGTAGAAGACAGCACTGGCCTTTCGGTGTAAGACCCTAATAACATTTATAATGGGACCTTTCTTTTGGGAAACCATAAAATCAGTGAGTTTGGTTTGATTTTAAAGATAATTCATTCCACCTTTGAGAAAAATGTGAGAAATCCCACACTCCACATTTGTTATATGCTCCTAATCACACAACATACTTAAAACAAAAGTTTTAAAAAATAGATATCTCGCTGTTCCAGCTGTTTCTTTGGCGCAGGAGTTTTGGGAAGACTGCGAGTTCTTCTGAACAATTTCAAAGTGATAGTGGAGGGAGACAGTTTCCTCTTGTTAAACATACAATGCAGAACACAAGCCCTGAGATATTTAACCCTTTGTTTGGATAGAACGTGCTCAACTAATAATGAGTTCTGCCAGCACAGTACAGACAAGGTTCGTTATGAAAAACACCACCTCCCCAGCCCCCTCCTCAACACTACAAAGCAGGAGAAAACACTAGTTTAGGAGTTTTCAGAAAAGAGCTACTAAAAATGAAAGCAGCAATTTGTTTACAGCAGAACTCCAGGAACACCTTTTTTTAACAAACTTTTTTTAACCCTTGCAGTGTGGGTACGTCCGCACTGCAAGGGTTAAGCGTTTGCTTTTTTTAGGTGCTAAAAAAAAAAAAAAAAAAAAAAAAGGTTATACTCACATGTCACAGCATTCCCTCTAGCCTTCTACAGCATTGGTATCTCCCTTGGCATCCTCACGTCTCTATACTGGGGGGAATTTATCAAAACTGGAGCAGACAAAGTCTGGAACAGATATGCACTGCAACCAATCAGCTTCTTCGTCTCATTTTCAAAACTTATCTGATCAAACTGAAGAGAGATACTGATTGGTTGCCATGGGCAACTGCCCCAGATTCTGCCTGCTCCAGTTTTGATAAATTCTCCTCACTGTGTATAGATTGTATAGATGTGATGATCAGCAGAGGAGGGTGAACAGAGGGTGCGGGGACCGGTCTAAGAATAAGGCGGCTCAGAGCATTGGGTGAGCAGAATTTTTTTTTAATAACAGACAAAAATGAGCAGTTACCCCACTGCAAGGGTTAATACACCCCCCACCCCTGGAGTTATTCTTTAAGTTATGCTATGGGATAACAAAGTAGGTGTTATCCCAATTTAGCCGCAAAAATGGAAATCTACTTTAAGGCCGACATTTGCTGCTTTATCAACTGCCATCTCACACACACTATCACCACGCCTGGGGTACTGTGGGAATGTGTGCTTAATGTATAAAAACCCATGTGTTACACTTTGGAGTGCTGCGGTGCCGTTCATTTTTAATGGCAATCCAATGCATCTTGCCAACACATTTGGCTTTTAGCGTGGTGGTCACCCTGGCTGGTTTCTCCAGCTCCATTACATGGAGTGTAGCCACCCAGGGACAGGAAATTTGTTATTTGCAGGATTACCAGGTGAGGATAGTCTGCAAAAAATAAAACTCATGCAGGCAACGCATCTAAGGACTGATGAGCTGCAATATATTACATTTTTGGGTATAGACTCTTTAATAATGGCTTATTTAACATGTACAAATTTGAGTCAATTTGGCTGATTCACTAAAGGATTTGAGAGTGTTCAACAATAAATTTTGCGAATATTAAGTTCAATTACCCAGTCAAGTGGAGATGAAGTAAACAAGGATTTTCTTTTCACATGAACGGATAATTGAAGTGAATCTGCACACATTTTGTGGGAACATTCTCAAATCCTTTCGCACAGCCACAACCTGAAGTGTCAAAAGTCTTCAGCTGACCTCTCACCCCTGGCTCTTAAGCTGGAGTGTCAGGCACCAAGTAAAGCTAAACAGAGCAAATATAAATATTTTAAAAGTCTGCACAACTGTCATAAGTAACACCGAGTATTCAAATTCCTGCATAAACCAAATCATGACTAGAACATTATAGCAGACTATCGACAGCAGTTTTATTCATTTATTACTATGTGGAGCTCTAGGTAGAGATCCAATTGAACATCCAGAGGCATATACAGATCCACAAGTAACTTGGGCAATATAAATGTAATTCTTTAAAATGATCTTGTTTTTTTTTTTTTTAGATGTACCATTGCAAACAAGAGCGTGGTTAAAAGCTTCCAAACAATCAAGGCATCTAAAGATCTTTTTATTAAGCTCACATGTATATATAAAACTTCCCATTGTATGATATGTTTTCCAAGCTACCATGCAATTTTGCACTAACCAAATGTCATCAATGGGGAAAACTCGAAAAGTTTCCAAATGACCAGATCAGTTTGTCTTGTAACTGCTGGGCCCGATGGCTATCCCATGTGGTCAATTAGCCCCCCATCCAAGCAGTATCATTCAAAGTGAATCTGCTTTGAGAACTATAATAAGCATGCAACATTCTTTGCCCTGCAGTTAAATATGGCTTCCTGCATTTAAACAGGCCTAATGGATTGCTAAGGTTCTGAACTGCACACTGTCCAACTCTAGTCTTTACACACTTGTGTGAAAGCAATAAATGTCACTTGCAGGCAATATGTCAATCACAAAGATAAACCAAAAAGTCTTCAAAGTGCAATGTTAGCCATGTCTTATATCCAATAATCCCATTAGAGTCCTTTTGTAGACATTCAGGAACACGTATGTTTGGGACATTTGGAGTTCCCTGCTTCTTCACAATCGTTTCTTAAATACCGACATGCTTATTCTAAAAGCACTTTTCAGCATGCAGACAGTTAACAGAACAAACTGTACTGTTGACTCATTGGTAGGTACAAGAAAACAGGCCATTGGTCAGACTCACGACCGGCGTCAGTGTGGAGTTAGTAGCCACAGCGGGCGAATGGCCAGTGCCAGGATGAAAGGCGCCCTGTTACCTTATACAAAAGGAACCTTGTCCGAGCCTTGTGCAGACCCAACCCTGTGTCCAGCCGCAAATGTTACATCAACTTATTTACAGAAAATCATAGATGTGTAACACATAGGTGTATATCCCCCCCTAATGTATCCATAATGCCGTTAATGTTCCAGGGAGCATAAAAATATTTTGAACATGCCTCTGGCCTGAAATTACATGAAAAAGTCACATTATCTGTGACATACCAATAAATAAACTTTATAGTTTATCACTAAACCAGCTAAGCATTTATAAGAAGCAGTAATCTTTACAAACGCTTCTGGACCGCTAGAACTTCAGCAGTATGGAGACGCCTGTGTAAAAAGATTAGTCAAGATTATTATACACCCTTCCATATTACCTGTAAGGAAAGCAGGGAGTAATATTCCAGTAAAAAGCAGCAGCAGCGCAAGCTGTGAGGTCCTCATGCAAGGCATGTCTGTCTCTGGCTGGGAATATGTAGACTGAGAGGTGAGACGTTAAGGAGACCTTGCAGCCTCTGGGTTAACAAAGGTGTCTCTGTCCAGTAAGGATGGAAATGTTTAGCTGAGGATCAAGAGAGAAGTACATACACACGCCAGACACCTCACACTCCCCTCATATCCCTCCTACTCCGTCACGTCAGGAACCAGAACCACCCAGCAAAATTCCTTCTCCAAAACCATCCCAAAAAGAAAAAGTGTACTGTCCTCCTCTCTTTTTTTCAGTACAGTTGCAGAAAAGACCATATTAATACATTTCCATATGACCGTCGCCAATTGGAATTGTTGAACAAACCGAACAATGCAAATTATATCACAATGTTCTCCATATGAAGGATTTAGTATCATGGAACACAACTATTTCAATGGCCTAGATGAGCGTTTTCTAGCCGTTGTTTTCAATTGTGTCTAAGAGGTCATGTTTTCTTGCCCCTATAAATAATAACCAATAATAATTGTAATTTCAACTGCTCACTGGTGTCCATGCTTGTTTAACGGTATCTGATGGGCAATGTTCTCCTACATTCCACAGAAAACATGGAAGGGGGAAGTGGGTTGCAATGGGAAATATTAACCATCCTTCTTTCAGAAACCAATGTATGAGGCCCAGTGCCCAAAACAACTGATCAGCTCACTACATTACTCGCATTTACATAAATGCTAGTAATGGATGTTACTCTTCCAATGAAGGGCATATGGTTTGGGCACAACTGTTTATTTTGGGCGCATAGAGCACCTGTCACTGTAGTTTTAGTAGACATTTACAAATCTGGGCACAGAGGTCAGGAGGGAGAGCACAATAGTTTATTAACCTGCAGTTAATGCATCATCTCTTTGGTGAATACAGGTGTTAAAGCTTTAGGAAAGTATTTTATGTCCCACAATGTTTACCATAGAAATCAATTACAGCTGAACTTCAGGAAGAAATTTAAAGAAAACCCACAATTTAAAGCAGCACTCTATTAAATACAGTTCGTTCATTCTCTTCATTTTAATTTAAGCAGTTTAAGTATCTGGATTTGAATTGGTATTGGCCTCTTGTAATCTCCTCCCCAGCAGAGCTTATTAGTCTGCTGTTTCTCCTTTCAATGTCACAGGCTGCGGGGAAAGACAAGACCTGTGTTACTTACCCTCAAAAAACAAATAGGCAGATTTTCTTCCAGGCCCAAGAGAGCTATATTGTGTGGTAACATTATCCACATAATTATCTCAGGGTATTATGAGGAAAAAGTCATAAAAATCCACCGTCAGGGAAAACAAAACTTTCCTTTATGTATTTGGTTGGTGCATTTATCTTTTGCCTGGAGTTCAGCTCAGCTACACAACCAGCGTCATAAAGAATTCAGCCATACCTAGAAGTGGCAATGGGAATGAACATTTCCTATCAGTCCTTCAGCAGAAACTACATGTAGCTTTATTTTCCATTCAATACATGCCCATGTGAAGCAGCACATTGTTACCTATCCAAATAAAATATGAAGGAGAGGGTTTTTTCTTTCTTTATTACACTGTCAAGTGGTACCAAGTTATTTTTTTTCTTCTATTGTGTAATCAGGAAACACCTACAGTTAAACTCTTTCCATCACTTTAATGCAGAGTAAGACTTTGAATTAAGGCAAAACATTTGCATTGAGTACCGTTGTGACAAGCCTTCTGGCCTTATGACCCGCTGTTCCTGTTCTATTCATTCATGACTTTCCATTCAATTTGCCCAATGTTTAGTGAAGACCCTACGTGTGTTTGTCCAGAAACTCTCCGCATAACACCAATGAGCTCACAGAGCATACCAAATCCTAAAAAGGAGAATAAATAGGAACTTTCCAATGACAAGACGTCGTAAAATAAATTAGGCTTTAATACAACTGTGTCTCTGGGACTTTTGTTCATGTAATGACCCTATAATATAAAGTAGAATCCCACGTTATATTTTCATTTTCCACTCCCGCACTCCTGAGCCACGTCTTCTGCCTCCAGTGGAAAGCTAGTAGTCTTCATGTTATAGGTCGGATCTGATAACACAGATTCAGTTACGTGTTAGCAGGGAGCATGAACTAAAGGATTTTTTTTTTTTGGTGGCAGCTGCCCCAGTGCTTGATTGTCCGTATGCTGACATTTCTCAGATGATGGAGGAAGACTGTGGCAAACAAACTGAAGTTCCCCTGGAACACACCAACATTCACCAAGCAATAAGGCATCCAAATCAGAAATATTTTAGAATACAACCAGCGCTTTATTGAGGTCAGACCTGGCATCCCCCCCAAATCACTGCACATGGGGCAAAAACTTGACAGTGGTCAGGGAGCTGTGTAAACTAAGTGTGTCACCTCTGATTCACACCATATCTGCACTTCTATATGAATATGTATAACTCAGGGGGAGTAGATATTAGGAACTCAACCAACAGCACCAACTGATGTGTTTTTTTTTTAGAATCAAACTGTATAGTGATCTGTACAAGTCCGAGGAGTAGCTGCAATTAATGCTGCTCCCACCTGACAACTATATAATAAAAAAAAAATCAGTTAATAAATGCACACATGAAAATAAAGTGCAAGGTGTGGATAGAGGAGAGCGACGCCATTCTTACCTCAAAGTATTTCTTCTCCAGAAGTGCAGAAGGCCACTTATGCACTACACAAACTTCAAAAGCTCCACACAGACTGAGGGTGCCTTACTGAAAATCCACAGAGCTGAACCCCAACAAAGCAGTGAGGGGAGGTGCAAAGTCCAACCCAAAAGCCTCCTCTCTCCACCTAATAACGGTGGAAAAGGTAACAGACCGTGCAAGTCTCTGAAACGAGACCGGACAGTACTGTGATAAGAGAAGGGTAATGTCCCCCATAACTCACTCTCTACCCACCCAGAGTGCCTTATCCACAATGCCCATGGGAATGCCTAGGTGAGTGGAGGGCAAAGTATGCTCAACAATGTCCTGCTCTGTAAAGCACTGTAGGAGGATGCCCCGCGATGACCCCAGTAGGGCACTGGGAGTGTGTGTTTGGGGTAGGTGGAGTCAAATGTTCCGCTACCTCCTCCCAATGTAGCAGAGGTAGGGGAGTGGGACAGGTTACCCCTACCCCACCATGATGATCAGTCCTCCAGAGTCTCTATCTCACCCATGTTCAACCTCTCAGAGGAAGCATTGACAGAAAACCCTGAAACAGAGAGAGAAGCAAAATATTAAATAAGAATGAAGCAATGGGAGAGAATGGAGATGTAATTCGAAAGATAATGAAAGGGCATATTTATAAAGCAGTGAATGTAACCTTTACCAAATATTCACAGGTGGTTAAGCATTCCCTCCCATTTAAAACACCTACAAATGCAGTGAATATTTTTGTAAATAGCTTCATAAATATTCCCCATATTGTTAAAAAGACTACCAAGGTAATTGAAATAGAAAATAAGGAGTAAGCACTTGCCTAGAAGACTTGGATCTGCACGAACCATCTTCTGTTTCTTTTTCTTGCGTCCAGCGCTTTGTGCAGTTTCTAGTGTTGTCGGCTGTGAGATATTTTGACTTGTTGGGTACATAACCCATCCAGATTCCTGATAAAGGCCAAAACAGTATTTTGTTGAATGACAAAATATGAAAAGCCTAGAGTACTCTACTAGTCTTATTGTTCTTTATCTCTGCCAGTGTGCGTACTGTGACCCAGAGTGCAGGCCTGCTCAAATGCAGAGTTTTGTGCAAGCTTTCTTTCGAGTGCTGGCGGTGTGCACGGAGTTTTTCCATTTGTTTTACACATGAATGTGGAACAGGTAATATAAGGAGAAGAAATTAGAACCGCCCCCTACATCTAGGTAAAGGTTTAACCCACATAAAAGGGGATGCAAGCTCTGTAGACCTAGAATTTGGGTCTATTTGCTAGGTAAGCGTCACTCTGATTAGTGGAGGTTTTTTGATGTCAACAGATGTGAAAGAATAGTGGAAACCACAGATTGAAGGAGTTTTAATTATGTTTGTGGAAATATAAGCGTCACACAGGGGTTGCAGGATTTGATTTTCTTTCTATATTTATAGTGGTTTGGATATAGCATGGCACATTTTTTATTATTTGGCATCACAGTAAATTAGTGCTTGCAGCTTAGAAAGGAGATACCGTATATACTCGAGTATAAGCCGAGTTTTTCAGCACATTTTTTGTGCTGAAAAATGCCCCCTCGGCTTATACTCGAGTCAGCGTCTCGAGAACTGAGCAAAGTGAGTACGCTGGTCAGGTTCTAAGGCATCCAGGTTGTCGTATCTGTCAGGAGGTGTTATTGTTATGGACTGCGCTGTAAATTCATCATCAAAGTATCTCGTGTCAATTTCTGAGGTCTGAAAGCTCTATGTATGTGCGATGAACAGCGCACATACATAGGCTTGTTGGCTGCACAGCGACTGCCAGTGATTGGCTTGTCACTGTGTTGTGGGCAGGGGGCGGGTCCGGAGGCAGAAGCGCGGCTTGGTGCAGGCTGAAGAGAAGAGATAAGGTAAGGGGAGTGAATGGAAAGGATAAAATCCTTATGAAAAGCAGGATCTGCCCAGGGATTGTGGAAATATTTTATCCTCTGTGTCGGGGGAATGGTATATGTGGAGAGGGAGTTGCCATCTGCAAGTTTCCCTCAGCTAAAAACACCTCACACCAGCTGAAGCTCTGTTTGGACATACAGATGATGAGGAGAACTCCAGTTTTGAAGGATTTTAGCTCTTGTGTGTTAGCTTGGTTGCTGATTGAGCTAAGGTTGTTGTACTTTTAAAGTTACGGTATTTTTGATACCATATTGTTAATGTTGACCCCCCCTTTCCACTTACAGAGCTAGGTTATTGTTTTTCTTTGAAATAAATATTCATGTAATTTTATTGGTATCTATCTTCATTTTGTACATTTACCAGTAGCTGCCTAGGCTTATACTCGAGTCAATATTTTTTCCCAGTTCTTTGTGGTAAAATTAGGTACCTCGGCTTATATTCGGGTCGGCTTATACTCGAGTATATACGGTATTAGTGCAAAGCTTATTTATAGAATATATGTTTTATTATATTCTTCAAGACAATTTAATAAATGTATCATACTACCATATGGGAAGATCTGTAAAGTATATAAGGAAGGAAATGTTATTCTGAATCTAAGTGGACACTGAAGTGTAGAATTGCTAGGCAGTGGCAATAATAAAATAATCCCATCTTGGAATATTAGCAGAGCATACAATATTGATCAGTAATAGATGTCTTCATCGCATGTGCTTGTCCAGCTATCTGGGTGTTGGTAAAGGCAGATCTGTTTACTGTTCCACTGGTTTGAATATGGATTAGATGTGATATGCACTTCTGAGAATTTTGTTTTGAGTTGTTATATATGAATAAATTAATTCTGGATATTAACACTGCAGCTTATATGAAAGTCAGAAGCACTGTTTATATAAATACACATTGACAAATAAAATATATCACAAAGGGCAAAACCGAAGCAATAAATATGGGGCTTGTATATTTATGCTTTGTATAGCACTATATTAATCTATTGATTATTACACTAATTACATTGTTTTAGCACAGTTAGGTATTAATTTATACAGGGGAGAGCAGAATAGGGATGCACCGATACCGGTACTCGGTCAAATGCTCCCATACTTACCCTGAATAAGGCCACTATCTGGTCAAAATGTCATTATAGATCGCCAATAGGGTTCAATTAGGCACCATAAGGTACCTGCTATCGAAGCCACAACACCTTAACATGTTTCCAAGGCACAAATATGCTTTAAGATGCCAATACACTGCAAGTGAGGGGTAAATCCCTCAAATGAGCAGCAACATTTCTACAGTAACATTTTTACTGTTGCGTCCCTTTTGGGAATCTCTGTTCTTGTTTCATGTGCCAGTGACAGGACATGTCAAAAAGGAAGAGAAAGCAAACAAAATACAGATATAACTTGACAGGTTCTGACTGTTCCCCACGTTAATACTATTTCTGCTTCATTCAAAAATAAACTTCAAATCTGCAATTGTGTTTTTCTAATATTTAACCACTTCAAGACCAGGTGTTTAGACCACCTTCCTGGCCAGGCCATTTTTCAGTATTCAGCGCTGCGGTACTTTGACTGACGTTTATTCAGTCATGCAACGCTGTACTGAAATGAATTTTACACCATTTTTTGGGGACAGATAGAGCTTTATTTTGGTGGTATTTAATCACCACTGGGGGTTTTATTTTTTATTATAATTAGGAAAAATTACTGAAAATTTTGAAAAAAAATACGTTTTTTTATACTTTATTGCTATCACATACCCCCCCTATGTGATAGCAAAATATGTGACAGGTCCTCTTTATGGAGACATCAGGGGTCTCCAAGACCCCTAATGTCACCTAGGACCCCCCAAAAGAAGCTGATGAAGCAAAGATCTGCTCCATCAGCTTCTGAAGCTGGAGAGTGACACAAGAATGCGGAAGTGATGTATTATACACTTCCGCATTCTTTCAGAGGAGAGGGGACCGGAGGGAGCTCGTGTACCGAGCTCTCTCTGATCCCCTGCGTCACAGGCGACATTCTGATCCCGGGCTCGCATCCCGTTTTTAAATTGTGGCCATTTCCCAGCGGCGCGCGCAAGAGGGCGTGTCTGAGCGGACGTCTAAAGACGCCCGCTCAGATCTAGAGAACCCCTGGCCGGCCGGCCCTTAGGCAGTTAAGGAAGCAAATAAAGAATTTAGACCAACCATCCATGCGACTGCTCGGCTCCGCATGGTCCGAACTGCCTGCCACCGAAAATGCTCCCTGACCCTTTTTTTCCCGCGCTGATCAGTGTGGTTTCCATACAGATTTCATTGGAACCGCGCTCATCAGCGCAGTTTTGGGCATTTCTAAATTGCGTTTCAGCACTGAAACACAATGAAAAACGCACAAAATCACCCTTTTAAAACCTGGTGAACAGGGCCTCAGATAAATCCCAGATGTAACTTAATGTATTACCTGCGGTGGCTTTTGTACAGCAGTTTTTTGCTTATTTCGGCGCTCCAGAAACTGCTTGGAGAAATCCTTGGCTTCTGGTGTGTCTCCAAGATATTCACAGACATAGTCATGGACCTCATACGGAGACTCCACTTCACGCAGGAAAGATACAAATGTGAGCACTGTACCAACACATAAAAGAATATTGTGAGGTTAAACTGAAAAGAGTAAGTAAAACCATTAAAAACCAATTAAAAATATAAACTTGATAAACTGCTAAAACTAGAAAAGGCAAAACTGCCATTGGGCACATGATGGTTATTGTTTTCCCTTTTGCTGGACCAACCTTTTTTCTAGGTAACAATGCAATTACTTAATAAAGTGCCTGGCTAAAATGTTTGTGTGAACATTCCTAAACTGTACTTGTAAGCAATTAGTTGAAGTATTTAATTCTGTTTCAGTTCATAAATATAAACAGAGTAACAAAGATGAACTCTATAAAATACACAGATAAATGCAAGTATGTGTTTATTATGAAATCATTAAAAGGAATTAAAGGCTAGTTCACCTTTTGCAAAAATTAATGAAATGCATATTTCATAATATAACATGATCACTGGATCAGGGCTGCAGAGCTCAGGCTTCAGCACATTCTCATACTGGCAGAGCTTGTACTGAGGTACGGAGTTTCAGTTAGGAGAGATGGGGGAAGAACGGCTGGACTTCAAACTGCATTAAATCACCTCATACGGCATCCAGCCGTCCTCCCACTAGTTAGATGCAGTAGAGCTGTCCTTATTCCCGTCCAACCCCGCTTCCCCATCTCCCCTAACTGAAACTCCGTAACTCAGTACAGCGCTCTGCCAGTATGAGAACGTGCAGAAGCCTGAGCTCTGCAGACCTGATCAAATGATCACCATTGCAATGCTTTTCAGGCTTTTTAGTTACACTACCAAATATGCATTTCTTTGATTTTGCGAAAGGTGAACTTAGCCTTTAAACATACAACTAGTGTAAGTAGCTAACTTTGACTGGGTATCAGCCCCTTGTAAAGCAGCATTTACACAGAGAGGGAGTGCCAGATCTGACAGCCATCAGGTGTTTTGCATATAAGTATGCTAACAAGGAACATGCTAACAGAAGGCGAGAGCAGAGTGAATTTTCACTCCTCTAAAACAGTGGTCCCCAACCCCCGGGCCGCGGACCGGTACCGTTCCGTGGATCAAATGGTTCCGGGCCGCCCAAGGAACATTACATTATTTCCATTTTATTTACTGTGGTGTATTTCTCTCGGGTTTGTCCGACTTTCCAGGACGAGAGGTTAACCGGGAGCTGAGAGACGTCACCTAAAGCCGCACCAATACCGCGCATGCGCAAAATATCGTGATATCGGGGCGGTTTTAGGTGACGTCTGGAGCTGAGCGGCTGCAAGCGGCAGTGGCATTGTAGCTTTGGTAAAGAGAAGGTGTGTATCGCTCTTCTCTCAGTTCACCGGTACTTTCTCATGTTTAACAGTGCTTGGTGTACGTGTATATTGTGTTTGCTCAAATTTAACCCACAAATTAGCAAAAATGAGTACGAAACAGACGTCGTTAAAGTTTCCTTGGGAAAAAGAAAAGGCCCAGTGAAGAGACAGAAGAAGGGCCTTCAACATCAAAGAAATATGTAACTTTTAACAGACAATACCATGAGTCCTACCTGAAATATGGATTTACCGGGACAGATGATTCCCACACACCAAAACCGCTCTGCATAGTTTGCGGCGACAGCTCTCTAATGAGGCAATGAATCAACGTCCCCCCCCCTCAGCGGGCCGCGGTAAAATTATCAAACGTTGACCGGTCCGCGGCGATAAAAAGGTTGGGGAGCACTGCTCTAAAACACTTTGGATTTTTTGAACCCTACCCACCTTCCCCAGTCATAAAAGCCGATATTATCTTTTTTGTCTTGGTCCTCTTTAAATTGTAGCTGAATGAACTAGGGCTAACATGACACGAGCTAAAGCAGGAAAGACCTGCAATTCCATGTGGTGTCAGGGTTGTTTTTAAGACACGGACAATTCCAATCTCTGCTTGTGCAAAGATTAACAAGGTTGGCTACTTCAGGGTAGAGTCTAGGGCTGCAACTAATGATTATTTTCATAATCGATTAGTTGGTCACCTTTCCACTTCAATAGCTTTAATTGGGGAATGACAGCTGTAAGCATCGCAGGCAGTGGCACAAGCCAAGCCAGCCAGCGGCTATTTCAAATTGCAATACTCAATAGCAGGCTGGCTATTGCACCCGTCCAGTGCCAATCAGCAGATGAGAGAAGTTCTCCTTCAGATCCTCCTCTGCTTATTGACAGGAGTCTTTGGGCTAGTGCAATAGGCAGCCTGCTATTGGCTACTGCAATTTAAAATAGCCAATAGCAGGCTGGCTATTGTTTCCAGCCGCTGGATAGGTACTTGACGCTGGATTTTTACCGCGGGCAAAAAAGGAGGCACAGGGGAGCAGAAGAGGAACTGGGGCACCAGTGGGGGGCATTAGCAGAAGAGTGGGGGCTGCTGAGGAGTCGGGGAATACAGAGGAGGCAGGGGGGTGGCAGCGGACGAGCCGGGGAACAAAAGAAAAGGCACAGGGGCTGACGCAGAAAAGCCGGGAATACAGAGGAGGCACGGGGGCCAGCCGCAGATGAGTCGGGGAATGAAAAGGCACAGCAGGTCTCTCTCCTCCCTGTTGGTTCCCGCTGCCTCTGCCGACACAGGTGGAAGAGCAGCAGGGAATGAAAGGGACAGACCGCTGCAGCCCTCACCAGCGGGGAGGAGAACAGGGGAGCAGAGTGGCGGATTCAACTAACTGATAATGAGAACAATTGACAACGATTCTCATTATCGATTAGTTGTTTCAGCTCAAGTAGAGTCAGCAATGTTCCAAAAGTTCTATTAGATGAATAAATATTAATAGACTAGGCTGGCCCTAATCAGGGCCATCAGCTAATTACTGATGGAGTTTGGCTGAACAAGATTACGACGAGCCAAAAGTACACATTTGATAGATTTATACAGCTAGAAAACTGTGTAAAAATAAGGGTGGCAATTTTTCTAAAATTCATAACATGTCATCTAGTTTAATGTCAATAAGCTGACAAAAACAAAGATGACTAGAAAAGGTGCAAACATTGTTTTTTGCTGCAAACAGTGTACAATAAATGACCAAATATGCTTCCTTACCATCCAGGTTGTGGGCAGTGCTGAGTGCATGCAGTGTCTGCTCACACCACAGGGTGAAGCTATCAGCACACTTTGTTGCTCCTTGGAACAGTCTTACGAGCTTTTCTTCTTGCTCAACCTTCTTACTCTGTCGGCTGTTCACCCCTGAAGAAGACTTACTGAAGAGACAAAAGAAAAATGTAAAATTTAGTACAGACATTACTATTTTCCTGTGAACAAACACTGTAATAAAATAAAAGCCCCCATTAAAGTGAATATAAAGTGAAGTGATAGCATTTATAAAAAAAATGCATGATGCGTTTAACTTAAATGAGTCAACCTTTGTCTATGATCTCTTGCTCCACAAGTTGGTTCCAATTTTATTAAAATATTTCAACACTGTAACAGAGAGTCCGAATTTTGGGGTTTAGTCCTGGACACAGCTGATTCCAGAGATGATTTTTGAAGGTTAAGGGGGTGGGGGGTTATCACTGGGGCCTGCAGTGTAGGGAATACCCAAGATGCAAATGAAAAGCTTAAAAAACAGGTTAGATGCTGTAAATAAGGGCCACAATCCATTAGCTCAGGGGCCCCAGCGCAAAGCATATGAACGGCTGATGCACTGAAAAGTTGGGTACATGTAGGTAAGCATCTCTGATGTTTACAGAAGCCAGGAAGTCACCCTGGTGAAAGGAAGAAATTACACATTTGCTAGATTCCATGTGGAATTTTAGGACTCTCATGAAGACTTTCAGAGCTTTGAAATCCAGAACGGGATGAATTCCCCCTTTGGGCTTGGAAATAAGTTAACAGGTTGGAGTAAACCCCCTGTTCTGCTGCAGTAAATGGGGCAATGACACCTTGATGTATACCACGGCACATTAACAGTCTGAAGAGTACTCTACTATCGGCAGCTGACCTGTCAGCGGAAAAAATCTTTTATCCATAATTTTTATCTCTATTTGTAACGCTATGGAGAGCGATTTTTATGACTTCCAATAAATCTCTGTTTAATACACCATGAGCCTTGCCGCTCTGTCCTCTCTCCTTTTCCGGATTTAAATCTCTATCCTGAGACTCCGAACCACGACGGCCCCTGGAAACTTTACAAGAAAACCCTACGCAGCGCATTATCAGTTCCCTCACTGACACGCTGAAATAAGAAAGGAACGTTACACAAGAACGCGATCTTGCTCCTGGAACACCAGATAGGCTTCACCCTTCCGTCACCCGATCATCTCCTCACGGCAATGGAACGGAACATCTGACAGAATACAGCAGCCTTCCCGGGATAACTAGATCGTTTTCGTTCTTCTGACATCTGGTGAGTGCGTTCCCTACGGCGGTTTCTCCTTCAGACAAGCATTCCCCTTTGGCACTTCAGATGTGTACACATGCCCCTTATTCTACAATAAGTTTCCATGAATGAAACTTCACGGGACACTGATATAATATTTCTCCATTCATAGTGCTATTTTTATGATTATATTTATTTACACAATTGTAATTATACACACACTTGTTCCATTTTATATCCATATAATTATACGATTTAAGTTTTTTTTACTATTTTTTACCGATGTGCTTCCTCGGTACCAATAGTTTTAAATTTTGACTGTGGTTTAATTTCCCCTTCGAGGAAAGATCCACACTATATGTTTATCACACTGTTAGTTGTTGAAGAAACACACGGTTTGACACATTACATTCATTTATTTCTTTTATTATTGGTTCCACTATATTGGTTTTTGATGATTATACAGTGAGGCTCAGAGCGCTGTACCATTGATTAATTAATTTCGGGGCTCAGGCCGATCAGCCTGAGCCCCAGCAGCTCACAGCCAGTCCGGTTTTCTTTCTTTTTCGTTTTAATTTCCCCTTTCCGATAGCGCAGAACGCTGGTTTTATTATTGTCTGAGGGATTGGCAGACTTCAAGCTCCAGGATCAAAGCTTGGGGAAGGCAGGGGGTGAAGACTTTGCAGTCTGTACCTTGAGTTTCTTCCACTGAGGAAGATGGGCGCTCTTGCCACCAGTAGCATCCTTGCTTATGTCGTCAAGAGCTTGTCTGAAGAGATGCCTCGCTCTCAAAGGCCATCCAAATAAAATGATTTTTACACAGGGGTTCTACAGTCTAGCACTTTAGTCAAAATGCACTACGCATATGCACGGATATGAGATGTCAGAAATGGGATTGGAGGCTTTCAGCAAACTGTCACATCTGAAATTGAATGGTACACTCATCTGCTGCACATGTTCTATAAACGAGGGACCAACCACAGCAGTGGCTAGATCTTTTTATAGGATAATGACCAGTCAGACATGGTTTGGATTGGATAAAGGGCAAGACCAACCAGAGAGAACAAAGCTCTAAAAAAGGGCTTTAAACTTCTTATTAGCTGGGTCTTTAGAACATAGGTTACGCGCTCTACAGGAAAAGTAAGCACCTTCTTAATGCAGGATACCACCTGATCCACAGTGGGAATAGACCACTTCTGTATAAAATCCTCACCAAAAGGATACGAGGCTGATAAGCACGGAGGAGCAAACAGTTTATCAGAATGCTCCCAATCTCCATACAGAAATAGTTGGAAAACCAGGTGTAAAGGGAATGTCCTTGTGGTCCTATAAAATTTAAATGGCTCCAGATTGGAAAAGGCAATGGAAGAAGCAACAGGTTGATCCCATAGTTTCAGAGTGGTGCGCACTGCATCAAGTGCCAAAACGTTTGCCATTAATTTGCGAGTTAAAGCAATACACAGGGTTCTCAGGGTTCAAGCTAATCAATCAAGGACTAGAACAACTCTGAATAAGAGAGAGCCTCTGCAACCAATGGCCTGGAAGCTGTTAAGACAGAGGGCAAATGAGACATAGAATCTGCAAGAGAGGGTGCTGGAGTGGACTGGTGGCCTCTGCATTAAAAGTCAGCAAATAACTTAGTGATTTAGGTTAAAATCTTGCATGACCGTGGTAAAATCCTCAACCAAGAGGGACGGCGGTCAAGCCACACCTGAGGGTTCCAAGGAGGATTCTGAGGACAGGGCACTATCAGCTAAGGATGGCATAATTCCAGGCTGCAGCTGTATGCATCGGCAGCAAACATGCAGCAAGAAGCTCCAGATCAATCAGTAGAGCATAAACTGGAAGCAGGCATTACAGTGGGACTTGTCCAGAATCGGACATGTGGCCACATGGCTGAAAGGCAATGCATGCACTCAGGGTCAGGTGGCCGGAGGTGACAATTCACTATAGGTGGGCAGCAGGAGCAGATCAAAAGACTGACGTTCCATGTGGTCCTTTGTGGGGAGATGCTTCCTTGATGATAAATGGTAGGAAAGAGAGCACAGAATGTGCACACAACACACAACTTAGCGAGTTATGTTGGTGCTTGGTCACACAGTGTTGGCCCCTTTTGTGGCAAAACCAGTGGGAATGAAGAACAATGATGTCCAGCGACCTAACTACATGAAGCAGCTCTACGGCTCGGCATTATCAGTTTTTAAGTGTAACTCCAGCCAAAAAAAACATTTTTTTTAGTTTTGGATAGCATAGGGAAGGGTCACGGTTCTTTTGCTGTCTGTTCCTGTTGTTCAGAAGATTATAATATAATTTAAAAAATGTTTTATTTAAAATGACACAGCATAAAAAGTTTTTTCCTATTTTTAATTTTATTTTATAAACTTTATTTTTTATTATTTGTTTGCATTTTAAATTTTTATTTATGTAACTTTTTCTTTACTTTTAATTTTTTTTGTCTTTTTAATGTAATGTTTTTTTTTTGTATTTTAATGCTGGGAGATGGATCTCCCTTTCAGAATCCAAGCTGCCAGATTGAGTGCCTCTGGATGGGGATGCCGTACTGGCCCTTGGGACAGCAGGTCCGGGGTTACTGGCAGAATCCAGGGAAGTTCCATGCTGAGATTGCGAAGAGTCGCAAACCATGGTCTCTTTGGCCACCAAGGAGCCACAAGGATGAGCGTCACCCGCTCCTGTACCACTTTCGATATAACCCTGGGTAATAACCTCACCGGGGGAAAAGCGTATGCCAGGCAAAAAACCCATGGGTGGGCGAATGCGTCCCCTCCCAGGGCTCCGTCCCCCGGACACAACGAAAAAAACACTTCTACCTTCCGGTTTTCCCTGGTTGCAAACAGGTCTATATCCGGGGTCCCCCACCTGGCCCTCAGCATTAGGAACGTATGGTCGTTCAGTGCCCATTCCGATGGCCGAATGCGTTTCCTGCTCAGGAAATCGGCTAAGGAGTTCAGCGTTCCTTTCAGATGCACCGCTGTGAGGGATAACAGGTTGTGTTCCGCCCAGGCCAGAATCTATTGGGACAGGGCCAGCAGAGTCCGCGACCCCGTGCCCCCCTGCCTGTTTATATAGGCCACTGACGTGGCATTGTCCAACCGGACTGCCACGTGAGAGCCCCTGATTCCCTGTTCGAACTCGACAAGGGCTAGTCCGATTGCCTTCAGTTCTCGGATGTTGGAGGATTGCCGACGCCAAGCGTGATCCCCCTTCCCTTGGGTTAAGTTCTCCCCCCAATGGGCGCCCCAGCCCCAGGCACTGGCGTCTGTGGTGATTGTCACTTGTTGCGGCACTCTCCACAGCCGTCCACCTACCAGATTTTTTCTCTCTAACCACCAGGTGAGAGATGCCTTTACCTGAGCCGGGACCTGGATGCACTCGTCCAGCGTCTCTTGTTCGCCGCCCCAATGCTGCAAAAGAAAAGCTTGAAGCGTTCTTGAGTGGAGCTGTGCCCAGCACACGGCCGGGATCGCCGAGGTCATAAGACCTAGGAGACGCATTATCACCCTGAAGGACACCTCGTTTGAAAGATACAAGGATAGAGTCAACTCCGCTATCCTTTCCCGTTTGTCCTCTGGGAGAAACAGACGAGAGACTCTGGAATCTATCCGGTACCCCAGGAAAGTGATATCCTGTGTTGGCTGCAGCTGGGATTTCTCCCCATTGATCAGCCAGCCTAGCCCCTGTAGGTGTGCCACTGCCTGCTCCAGATTCCCCCTGAGGGTCTCTGGGGAGTGGCTGAAGAACAGCAGGTCGTCCAGGTAAGGGATAACCTCGATCCCCTGAAGCCTTAGTGGAGCCAGCGCCTCCGCCAACACCTTTGTGAAGAGTCTTGGCGCAGAAGAAAGACCGAAAGGCAGAGCTCTGTATTGATAGTGAGCTATCCCGTGGGGTCCCTTTATCGCAAACCTGAGGAGTTGTTGCGACTGCTCTCTGATTGGTAGATGGAGATACGCATCTTTTAAGTCTATTTTTGCTAGAAACACCAACGGGGGCAACAGGTTTCTTACTGAATAAATAGACTCCATACGGAACCGCTTGTACCGTACCACCCTGTTCAAGGGTTTCAAATTTAGTATCAGCCTGGCACCCCCCGAGTAGCATCCCGTTCCCCTACTGGCACCGGGCAAATAACTTCCTGGTCCATTAGGTTCTGTAAGGCCAGTACCATCGTTTGGGCTTTTGGACAGGAAAGTCACGAGAAAACTGGCAGGAGGAGGTTTCACCAGCTCTATCCTGTAACCCCACTGGATCAGGTTCAAGATGAAACCGCTGTGTGTGACCTCCTGCCACTGGGGGAGGAACGATCTGAGTCTTCCCCCCACCAAAGCCGGGCAGTCACTGGGGTTTTGCTTGGGCCTGGGCGGGGGAAAAACGAAACCCACTTTTGTCTTTCCCCTTCTTAAATGCCCACTTCTTGCCCTGGTCCTGCTTTTTACCCCCTCTGTTTTTCCGGGCGAGTTGACCTCGAAAGGGCTTCCTAGGTTGTTTGTTCGCTAGGGGGAACCCCTTCTTTTTGTCCGAAGATCTGTCCAGAACTTCCTCCAGCTCCTGACCAAACAGCAAATCTCCTTTAAACGGTAGCCCACAGAGCCGGTTCTTGGACGCTATGTCCCCCGACCAGGTCTTTAGCCAAAGAGCCCTCCTTCAGGGTAGTGTAAGGTGCCGTGCACCTGCCTACCTTAGAGCTGGCTGCAGAGGGTTCTCCCAGATCATTGGGTGCAGCAACATTCGCAGAGTCTGCTGGCATGGTCGCCGACCAATGCGAAGCTCCACGCTCTCCGCCCCCGCTCCGATTGCTCCCACCTCGTTTGGTGCCACAAGGTGCTCCACCGGGTAGCTGGCCCTCTCTCCAGGGTCTGATCAGTGCCATGGCCGAGCGGGACACATCCTTCTTATGGCCGGACCGGAAATGCGTCATTTGACGCCATCCCCCGCCTCCACCCGCAGTACCGCCCCCGGCCTGTGACCTCCGACAGTGCTCCGCGTCTGACGTCACTGCTGTGCGCCTCCGCCCCACGAGTCTCTGCTCGAGGCGGCCGAGAGAGAAAATGGGCAAGACAGCTGCCGAGTCACCTGCCACGGCGCGAGGCTTCCCTGCCGCCACCACACAACTGTGAGTAACGAACAGAAATGCGGAAACAGACCTCAACAGCCCGGTGGCTCCCGCGGGTACACTCCTCAGACCGCCAGAGTCCCCCAGGAAGGCAGCTATAACCCCCGCTAGCTGGGAAAAACTCCACTGGAGTCATCACAAAGGGAGGATGGTTGCCCTCTTGAAAGAGAGAAACCTCAGGGCCATTCACCCCTAAGGGTAGGACAGGATGGGGACTGCCCTAGGGATCTTGCCCCGGTATCTCCAAGACCACTGGCCGCAAAGGGAGGAGATACCAGAGCAGCAGGCCCCCTGCCACGTGCACGCAGGCCTCAGAAACAAATAAAAAACATCCATTTCTGCAGTGCTCCCATGCTCCTGTTAGGCCGAGGAAACACAAAAAACTGAGGTATGCTGGGGGCAAGTGCCCTTTTATTTGGTGTATGTGATGTGTTTCCTGTTTTAGGTGGGAGGAGACTATCTCTCAGATGCTGTCCTGGAAGATTACTTGGGAAAGTTCTCTATCAGGTCCCCCCATGCCAATTGACAGCAGGCGGGTGCAATAGCCAGCTTGCTATTGGTGATTGCATTTTACAATACCCAAAAGCAGGCTGGGTATGGCTCCCAGCCTGCAATGAAGAGTAGGCAGGGGGGCGGGGCAGAGGAGCCGCGGCCGGACCAGGAGACCGGAGGATCGTCCGGACCGGGGAAGCCGACGGAACAGCTGAAGAGGAAGTCGGCACATCAGCGGAGATACGTGGGGCATCGGTGGTATGCAGCGGTCTGTGTCCCCGCTGCCTCCGCCAACACAGGAGCGGAGAGCAGCGGGGATTTGAAAGGACACAGGCCGCTGCAGCCACAGTTCTCCTAAATGTACCGGCGGCTGCCGGTACATTTAGGAGAACTGTGGACCCCGTTCGTAAGTACGGATTGTCTGTAAGTCGGAGGTCCGTAACCCGGGGACTGCCTGTACATCAGTCTGTAAGGCGCTTTGTCAGCCACCTTCATGATTTCCTTTCCTGTCTTGTGGAGCAGGCTGGTGACTACACACCCTGCCAATGATGACATGAAGTTAGAGCTATCCTCTGTGTGCGCTTTTATGAACCAACCAGTGAAGTCAGCGAACACATTATGCAAGCTGTGAGCGGGCTATAGTTCTCTAAGTAAATCTAAAGTACAATGGGACAAGATACCAACTATTCTTAATGAAGCAGTATGGGAGAAGAATTGCTCTAGGTGACTGTAGAGGATCTGATACAATGGGCTATTTCTTTTTCTGGCATGTTTAGTGGAAATTGTGCAGTGTCCATCACCAAAGTTCACAATTAGTAATAATAAATACAGCTAAATCCAAAATTTTAATGTTATAAATGTTAAAACGTCTGTAGGTAGCACAAGGGAATATTCAGTTTTTACCTGGCATTGTTCTTGTTCTTGTTGGTGGTGTTTCGAGGTGCCACCTGTTTTACCGCATCGTCCCAGAATCCACCACTAGGGCTCTTATTTTCTGGGCTATTCCAGATACTACTTATTGAATCAGATGACCACTGGGGGCTCGGGTTATTGTTCAGATTACCCCATACTGAGCTCACTGAGCTCACTGAGCTACTAGTGTTTTGAAGTTGCTATAAAAAAAAAAGCAGGAAAGTTTGATTATACAAAAACAAGTTTGTCATAATACTTCCACTTTCACAATATTAATTTTACTCATTGAATGTCTCACTGTTCTGTAGGAGTATAAAGATTTTAGTATGCCAGTGTTCTCCAACTGTGCAGACACATCTGACATATAAAATCAGTTACAGTAGTCATAATAAACTGGCAATGCAAAAACAGACGTTTTTATCCCAGTAGAAACCTACATAGGGCCGAGTGCCTGTGGATTCACATAAAATATCAAAACGCTGAACATTGTGAATTTATTATCTAATTCAAACTCACTAGCTTCTTAAAAGAAGAAACATTTAGTGCTCTCTAGACACCATAAAAGATAATTGAGCCTGAGGAGAAGTCACGATCAAGCATCCGGGAGTATGGCACAACTTCCAACACCTTAATACAGCTATATACATTTAAATCTGCTATAATGCCACATGTGGTTCTGGTACATGTCTGTTATAAAGGTGGACGAAGGAGGTTATGAACTGTAACATGGCTCAGAGAAAATCTCTCCTTTCAAACTCAGATACTACTTTACATTTAATTAAGCTAGTAAAGTTAAACACACAATAGGTATCTTCATAGCAAAAGTAAGGAATGCATGCGAGACTTCCGAGGTCTACCTGTTTTTTGGACAATGGTACTCACAGGAGGGGCAGGCGTAGCTGGAAGAGTAAGGTTAGGCGGTCGACCACGGCCAGCCTGAGGCGGCATTATTTGCATTTGCCTGGCTTCTTCTTGCTGAATCTCCAAGAGAGATGTTGTATTGCCAGTAGATTTCCCAGCATTGCCCCAGCCAGAGACTTTTTGCTGCTGCTGCAGCTGCTGCTGATGCAGCTGCATAGACTTTATCTCCTGCTGCTGTCTTCGAAGCTGCTAAAAGAATTACAAATTGAAGAGCCATTCCAGGCAATTAGTTTAATGTTATCCAGCAAATACTAAGGCTAGGCCAAAATCAAACAGTTCACTCAATTTACTTTTAAAGAAACCTGTCAGCTCAAACAGCTCCCACAACACACTTCTTTTTGAAGGTGCATGCTGCAGGGCAGTCATGGTCACCTGGAACAAGACGGTCAACATTGTATTGCAAATTTGTATGCTGACAGATTCTGATCAAAGTTTCCTGTAATCCTACAGTAAGAATTACATCATGTGTGATTTTTCTGTCCCCCTGATTCATGTATCACCCATCAGACTGAATCTTCCATGGCGGTTTAGCGAGTTTGTGTGCTTCTTAACACTGCCCTTTCTTGTTTGTGACAGAGGAAGCAAGGAGCCTGATGTGGATATGTCTGGGAACAGCACTCCAACGCTCATCTGAGGGGGTCTCAGATGACCTGCAAAAAAGACTGGGGTGGATTGGTGCACAAGAGCAATCCCCAGATAAAACGTGCAGGTACTGAGCTGGTAGTACTGTGCTCCCAATAAACATTTCAAGGCTCAGTATTTAATTTTTACCAAAGTGTACCTTTAAATATATAAGCCAAAATATGTGGGAAATTATTGTGTGTGTATAGTACATCAAAAATCAATTATCCAATGTATTTAAAGGCATTTATTTCTTGCCAGTGAAATACATGGTAACTAGTGCTTCTTCATGACCATTGCAAACCAATAAAGAATAACCAGGAAGAGTATAGCGTGGGAGCCAAAGGAAACTTTTCATTTTTCACCCAAAATTCTATGAACAAACACACTGCCTTATTTCCATATTATCCATTACAAATCTAATAAATGTCTAAAAATATTTAAAAAAAGAGAATATTCTATATCAGAGATCAACAACATATTTACCAGGCAGAAAAAAAAAGTTATAATTTCAGGTCCATCAATTTAGTGTCTAATGTAAAAGCTGAAGAAACAGCTGAAAGGTAAGAAATATATTCTACATGTTTTTTTTTTTTTTGGGGGGGGGGAA